AACTGAAGCCCTGATCACTCATATCCTCCCTCTAATTTCATTCACTGCCTTTCCAGGGCAGGCTGTTCAGGCATTAATAATTAATGCCAGTCTGTAGAAGGAGAGAATACCCCACAAGGTTTTCTCAGGCCATTACAGGTCACATTTATGGGTCACAAAAAAAGCCACATTCAACTCCACTTTCAAATCTACTATTCGTCACCCTTTGAAACTCATTCAACTCAAGAATTTTCAGTAGCAGGTTCCATCTCAATCAAAAGGATCAAAAACCTGGAAGAAGCACCCAATCTTGAATTGCTGTAGCCTGGGGGCAAAAAAAACCCTGCATTTATTCTGTGTTTATTCTCACATAAGCACCACCTCATGTATCTGCCACACATTACATAAGAATCACAGCTTCCAGAAGGTCAATGTTAAAGCCACCTCAAGCAAATATGAAAATTACTTCAATTCTCTCCACATTAGCAGTCAACTTAGTCTGATTCATACTCTGTGCTTAATCGTGCATCATGAAAGTATCATACAACTCAGCATAAGCAAGAGGAACATAAAAAAAATCTTAGCCCTTATTCATGTACATTCACTGAAGTCCATGGGGACACAGGATCCTGCTGTTCCTGTCATGATGTAGCAACTGGATTAAAACTGGTGCTTGATAACAAATAAGAATGCTCGGGTAACATTAAAAATAAAGTTATCTGTGAGAAGCAATGAGCACACTTCCATGAGCTACAGATTTGAGTACAGGCTGATAAGGTACAATATCAAACACAGGAAGAAACTTGAATACAGTGGATAGGATAATAGCTCCATCACTGTAAGTACCATTTCTGAAGTGTACTAGAAGCCTCACTATTAACTACTAGGCCACCCCAAATCACTTAGGTAACAAAACTGAGGTGGAGTTACACACATACAATATCCAGGACACCAGCCAAAATTTAGACCCCAGATACTAATTGGATAATTACCACAGATGTTCTGGCCATAATGCATTTTCATTAGAGACCTCTGCTTTGACTTTCTACTCCCTCCAGACACACTGGGAGTCTCAAATATTTGTAGTTAATTTGCAAGCATATTTCTGTGTCAATCATTTACATTTATTCTATATTCCCAAAACATCAGATGGCCTGCTCTGTACTAAATGAGTAAATTATTAATTTCTAAAACTTAATGTTTAACTAACATACTCAACTAATTCCATTATCAAACTGAATTCCTGCCCATGAAATACTGCCCTGTATTCTGACACTGGGTCTTACATTAGCTGTTCCTAATTTATGCTGTACACAAACATTTACTGAGATACCTGGTACTTCGAGCATCCCCACTTAACAAGCATAGGACAAGTATGAGGAAAAGGGGATTTTGGCTTAGCATCAGCACTGATAAAATAAGCAAAAAACACTCAGTAAAAACCTTAGTAATATAGTACTAGCACATACTTGAAAAATTATCTTTAGGCAAGGCAAAAAAAATTAAACTGAAAATCCAGAAAAGAAATGAAGCAAATTTTGAGGTAATTGCAGTTACCCAAGTGCATGATAGGCAGCATGGGAGAAAACATGAATGCAATTATTTGACAGCTTGGCAACAGGGCCACTGTTAAAGCTGAGAAGAAAAAGGCAGGGATGTCCTTAGGCCTCAGAAGTCCCTGGTTGTATATCTAATATATAGGAACCACAGGAAAGATGCAAAGAAAAAAATGGCACAGCCAAAGCAACAATCCAGAAAAATAAGTTGTGCTGCTCTAATTGGGCCAGCACAGGTTGGCAAGGCTGCTTTGCTCCAGGCAAAGGAAGCTGACGACACAGCACTGAAGGCAAGCACAAAAGTTTTTACCTGCAAAGGTGAAAAGTTGAAGCTGAATTTAAGAAGCAAGAAACAGGCAACATTTAGAGAAGACTCAAGTATGAGAAAAAGTGCTGAAGAGTGCCCAGAGAAACACAGTCCTGCAGTGTTCATCCATTGAGACAAGAAGTTGAAAAGTAAGAGTTTTTTAGTTAAGTAGCACATAGGCTGATAGACAGGCATGGGCAACGGAGCAGTTGTAAAGACAAATCACTATATTCCTTGCAAAGAATAGGAGAGAGGCAGAAGGGCAGATTTGCAAGAGCCAAGTAAGTAGGCAGTGTTTATCCACTGCACATATGCAGTCATATTTCTAGACAGAGTGAAAACACATGGATGCATACAGTACAGTGTAGCTCCTGCCTTGGAATTGGGCAGTGTGATCCAGATGTTCCCACCATCCTCTCAAGTTTTTTTAACTTGAAGTAATGCACAGTTACTTCCATTCATATTATCCTTCATGACTATCTGGTCTTAATGACTTTAATTTGCTAGCACTTGATTATCACTATCATACATTAAAAAAAGTTAAGATTTTGTCTCTATACTGATAAATGTAATATTCAGGATACTCAGCTTTCCATATTAGCCATTACTTTGACAAGTGATGGATAATTTTGTTGCTTACACAAATCTCACCTTCTCTTGGTTCCAAGTTCTTCTACACATCAAATCTCTTCCACCTGCTGCTCTGTCTCCTAAATCTTTCACAGAACTTACTTAAAGTGATTTGGTGGTGTGATCTTTATTTTTTTTTTTTTAATGTGGTAAATCTAATTCTCATTGTGTCAACTATCCAGGTTTACATTATTTTCACCGGTATTGCAGAACTGCGTATTTCAGACCATTCAGGTCTTTGGGCTGTGGTGGTTCATGTTTTTCTTTCTTTTTGTCTCTCTTACACATTGGAAAAGAAGACCCATCTAGGCAGAAACAGCAGGTGAAGCATAACTTCTACCAACCTTCTGAGACAGTTAACAATCTATATGTTATGTCAAAAGATTTAAATTTGTTAACTTATTAATTCATTGTTGAAGCATTAGAATGAGCAGAGCTTATACAGCAATATCCATCTCTTTAAATTGCATCACTATTAATACTTCTTATTTGGAAAGGGTCTATTAATAATATTAAACTGCTCACATGTCCTGATCATTTGCCAAAACCATTTCTGGTGAAATGGTGCCCTCTTGTAGCAGGAATCGGCCACTGCAAGAACAGCAGCTTTGTAAACACATAATTGGCAATCCATCTCAAGCATTCCTTTCACATCATAATTCACAATAATAAGAAATAGGCATGTTTGCAGAGTTATTTTGAAATATTTTTTCTTCTCTAAATTTCATTTAGAAACAGCACTGACCTTAGCTAGAATATAAATTACTTTCAGCACCTCACAAGTTAGTTAACCCCACTCTTTAGGGGAAGCAGTGGTCTTGTTTGTAGGTTTGATACATATTCCCAGTATTTAGGAGGTCAATCTATCCAAGCTTTTATCTTTCATCTTCAAAACAAGAACTGACAATTATGCAAGAATACTCTGCTGACCAGGATGTCTAGGATAAAGCACAATTTCTCAGATGCTGTTTTTTTACTTCCTGTCTCCTGTGAAAAATCTTGCACACCTTTAGCAAGATTTTCTGGCTCCTCAGCCCCAGTCCCCCAGCAGAAGCAGTTCATACTATATGCCAACAAGAAAAAGAACAGAAACAGGGGCAAAGATACAGGTAGACAGTTTCTTCAGCTTAACAAGGCATCTGAGTGATGCCAGAAATCCAACACCCACAGCCACAGCTGCTCGCTCAGAGCCTCAGAGCAGAAGTGCACAGCGATGCTGCCCTTGCCACCAGGGATCTTCCATCCCTTAAATGTGTGTGGTTCATTTTTCTCCAGTACTGAAAAAAATGAATAGAAATGAAAAAAATGAATACAGCCAGTGTGACTCATGTTGTCATGAGCCAGCCAGACATGTGACTCATGTTGTTCTAAACACTTAAGGTTTTTTATAATACTTTGTGTAGTAACACAAATTCTTTACTTAGTATTTATTCTCATTAGCATCATTCAATGGTAGCCATCTGCTACAGTGTTGTCAAACGCAAATTGATTGTGACAAGTATTTTGAAGCGGCGCGTTTCCTGTTCAAATATTTATTATTATGAACATTCTTTTTTTTTTTTTTAATTTTGCTTCCATAAAACTGTTTTTTTCTTTTGTCTTCTGGTTGGTTATGGGGAGGAGATGGTGCAGAGGGTGTTTTCAGGTTTGGTTTTGCTTGATTTACTTCCTAAACCTCACTTTTTACTAAAAAAGCTCTATTTTCTTAAAATAGGAACATAATACCCACATGTACTGGGGGGAAAGAAGGAATAATTTTACCTTCCCTCATGAGCATGCTCTCTAATCTTGTTTTAGAAGTCTGTGATTGTAATACCAATAAGCATAAACAAATCATGTCAATATGGGGACAATCTTGCTAATGGCAGAGGGGGAAAAAAGATCAAATTTCATAAACAAAACACAAAGAAGGGATCAGATTACCATTTAATCCCATCCACACTTTGCCTACTTCCTGCTGTTCCTGGATTGTCACTTTCCCATTTCCATCATTAATATGGAGCTAAACAGAAGGAAGTGCAAGAGCATCAAACAGCCTAGTATTTAAATAAACACACATCTGCCTAACAGTTTGGGTCTAAGAACCCAAAAAAGGTTTGCAGGCCTGAGCCAGGATTAACCAGTATTTTAGGGCATGAACTCCATCTGCATAATGCTTTGTATACCTACATGAAACAGAGTCTTTAGGTATCATCATGTTCTTTCTGGCTTTGAAATATTACATGTTATTCACTGATATTTGGATGCAAACTTCCTGCAAAACCAGAAAAACACTAAAAGCTCCAAACACAACCAAATTACTAACACATGTCAGCAAGAAACTCTTCCCAGAAAGTACACAAACCTTTTCACAGCACCACACTCTGCAAAAAAAAATAATTTTAATATCTGAATCTAAGCCTGGATCACATTTTGGAAGCCTGAGACAACTCCTGCAACTCCTGCCCTCCTGAGGTCAATGCTTCTCACTATAGCTACACCAACCAGGAAAAAAAACATAACCTTATGGATGAGGGAATAAAACTCACCATGCTGTTCATTTTAGAAGAGGACGAGCTTGCTCTCTGTATCCTTAGGCTGTTAAGCTCTTCTGCATTTCCATCCTTTGGTTTTATGATCAACCGGCTGCCCCCAGCAGTGCCTTCTGAAGAGGACCTCAGTCGTTTCTCAACAAATCTGCCTTCCCTGTATGGACTGAGGCTGCTGGCAAGATCAACTACAAAGAGAGAAGCAATCAGCAATTGTTACAGGGAACTGCTCTCTACAAGTATTTTCTTAATGAGAACACTGCTTTGCTTGAAATAATTACACTGAAAAGAAATCACATGAGAAATGTTCTGTGGAAAGCAGACTGTGCTTCCCTAGATCAAGGTGCCACCTGGGCCCCAGTTCCCTGTTCAGCCCCGGTGACAGGCATGCTCAGCACACCACAGCCCAGTCAAGGGCTCCTCATAGAATCCAGAAAGACTCTTTGATCCATCTTTTTCCTTCTCCCTTTGTTATAGGACTTTCCCAAATTGCTGAAAGTAATATCTACCAGAGAAACTATCACTTGCCTGGTGGTGCCAGCCTGCCTTATCCTAGGCCCAAAGGCAAGTCCAGCTTTTGAAGGGCCAGGTGACAACTTTGTTACCCCTGCATAACAGGGATGCACATCAGTTTCCATTTCTGTTCAGCATTCTTAGTTTAGCCTTACACCTGCACCCTCCATCAACCTGCAGTCAGTGGGCAAAATCCCAGTCCAGTTAAAACAATAACACATCAGAAAAGAGGAGAAAAAAAATACATTTTGACATGTCAGGGCAAATATAGAGCTGGGGACAGATAAAAGAGTAGTAGCATAATAAATGTCATATATACAGAAAATTTTACCTTTTGCATTTTGCAAGAGAAGAGAGATTTTTCTCTAAAGGTTCTCAAAAAAATCCATATCACATAAAAATACATAAAGATATACTAAGAAATATGTGGCACATCAAACCTCCTCACGCATCAATGTCACATTCACCATGCTATCTATAATGGTATCAGCTATGACACCAGGTACAGAAGAGAAAACATCTATTACCAAAGAAGTATTTTCTGATCATATCTTGGTTCAAATACTGTTTTAGAAAACCAAATGTTCAAACCAGTCTGTTTGCAACAGGTATAAGTTGTTATAACCATATCTTGCTGATTGCCATGTAAGCTTTTTCTGTATTTGACCCATTTCATATAGCAGGCTTTTTTCTTTATTTTCACTGGTTCCTTTGTACCCTTGGAGAATTTCTGATTTGAAATACATTCTTCACAACACCAGAATAAAAGTATTTTGAACAGCACTAAAAAACAGAACTTTTCTATTTTTTTAAATCATCAACTTTTATATAGTGCAGTATTAGCTCTAGTAATAAGAGCTATTTACAGATGACACAATGTGGCAAGGAAGACAAACTGAGTGTTCAGGACCAGTAATACAGATAAATGGGAAAATTTTTTCCCTCAAAGTGACTGAGGTTCCGAGTGAAAGAGGAGCCCTCTGGCGAAAGCTAATTCAGTGGATTAATTTTACTTTCTATTGCCATTTATATACAAGATACCCAAGTAAGCCTAGCAGTGACTAATAATTCAAAAAGCAAAATTGCTTTTGATTGCTTATAATCTACATGCCTAGATAAATATCCAAGCAAAATGATGGGTGTGAAGTTATATGAGTTTATACTTAATATCATTCATCTTCTAACACAATCACTACAAATGCTGTCTTGTTAACTCTCAAATTTTGCCCCCCCGCATACAGCCTCAGGATTAAGCAAGAAAGCACCAGTCATTAAGTTGGCTCAAGAAAATCAACTGTCAGAGATAAAGTCTTCTGACAAGTGTCCTTCACTCAAGGGCCTGGTGCCTTATTTATCTGTATCTCTATAGACTGGGATTTCTAGGCACAGTCTTTCCACTTAATCTTGTTAGTACTCCAAATTACTCTTCATAAACTACAGACCCGGTGTGAAATTTAGATGGCAATTAACTCCCTCAGTTTCACAGATGACAAAATGAGAATTTGGACATTTATTTCAGATGGAAGCAGAAACAAAATCTCTTATACTTGGACAAAATATCCACTCGGAGCTATTCTATAACATCAGTTGAGTAGAGAAAGCAAGACTCTAGAAATTTCTAAACCCCAATCAATATAAAGTAAACGGTATTGTTTCCCGTAATCACACTACAGGAACATTTGTTTCTCTGGTGATGTTCCCATTCTAAATTATGCAACCCCATGGCTCAAGTCCAAAATAGCGATGTCTCAAGGAATTGTAGTTCCAGCCTCTAATACAAGCTGGGAATTTGCATTCTTAATTCATTTTCTATTAAGCAAAGTATAGCCATGAACAGCACCGATGGATGTTTGCAAACTCTAAAACACAAACTCAAAAAAGCCACAGACTTTGCCTTTAATTCCTACAGTTCTGCAGAGGGCACAATTTCTACTTTCTGAACTTCATAGTTAGCACTTGCAATTCTAAACAACACTTTATGACAAAACAATCATTATAGAAGAAATGAAGCCAGCCCACTTAAAACCCACCAAACTCAAAAATAAAAAGACCATGAAACATACCTTTAGGATGGTTTGATTCATAACCCTGTTGCATTTTAAAGGACTGAGGTTCAGAACATGGAACAGTGTTAGATCCCACTAGAGGAACTGTGTTTCTCATGTGCTTGCATGGAGTGCTTTCATCTCTGCTGCCACTCAACCCCCATGCCTTTGGAGAGAGTGTCACTGGTTCTTCACTATGCTGTAACGTCAAGGTTCCTAAATGTGCATTTTCTGAGTTAATTTTTTCTATGTGGCTGGCATCATTAATATGTAGTCCACTGGCTTTCAACAGTACTTTTGTTTGATTAGCAACTGAGGTTTTGAATAAGGTACTGAATTCCACACTGCACGAGCTTGCATGACTCACAGGAGATACACCAGCAGAATGGCCAGCACTTTGCACAGTCTCTCTCTCCCTCACAGGAGCAGCAGCAGGATTAAAGAAGATCTGAGAGGTAGAGACATCGTGGCCAAATTCCTCTGTGAGCAGTGGCCCTGGCCCACTGCTGGGCAGGGCATCAGCCTCTGAAACAGAGTCCTCAGTCAGAGCAACGAAATCCGAGGGGGTCTGGGCAGCCGTGAGGTCAGCTGAGAGCAGAGGGGACTGCAGGGAGCTACCCATGCACTCCGTGATCTCAGCCGAGCATGGAGAAGACAATTTGGCCATCACAGGTTCACTCTCCACATAGGATTTAACTTCCAGCAAGCACCTGGGCTGCTGCACAGAGGAAACTGACTGACTCTCTGGAACCGGTTTGGAAAATTTGTAGTGTGATGAAAAAGATTTGGTGAGAAGTTTTCGTGTGGACTGTTTGACAGAATATCGGCTTCGCTCTTCTGCAAAGCCCGAATCATCACCCTCATTCTTCCCAGAGCTTATGCAATTGATAAAGACATTCTTATTAGCTGAGGGCTCCTTTCCCTTTTCAAAATCATCTGTCAAAGACCTTGTTATCTTCTTGTTACGTGAGCTGCCAAAGCCAACAGAATGCCTTCCTCTGCTTTTTATGTGCTCGTCTAAGCTGGGTTTTTGGAAAGTGCTAAGAGAGGACTGGCCACCATTTGAGATGTTAACATTTTGACTCGCTGAGTCAGGCTTCTGCTCACTCCCTTTCTTGTTATGGAAGCTAATGGAAGGAGTGCGGAAAATACTCCGGCGCTTTCCTGTGCTCCCTGAGCTGGAGTTGGTGCTGGATGGGGAGGAGGTGTGGACACCAATGGCATTGGCAGAAGAAGGTGAGGAAGGAAAGGAGTCGTGTCTCCGGCTAACACTTCTCCTGAATATTGGCAAGCGAGATACAAGAGTCGATCGTCTGGATCCCGAGTCCCCCATCAGGGCAAAAAGGGTCCGTGGTTCTTCACAGCCAGTAAAATAAACTAGGATGAAATAAAAAAAAAGGGGGAGGGGGGAAAAAAATAAATTATTCAGCCTCAAAGATCACTCAAACAGATTTGTCAGTCAGCCTAAATGCATGAGATGTCAACATAATTTGCTGTACACACATTACTGAAGACTTGTAGCATTTCAAAGTGATGTTCAATAGCCATCACTGAAAACTGAGCAAACATGTGATTTAAAATATTCTACTGACAAAAGATACAATTTTATATACAGTATTGGACAACAGTAATGCATACTGTTACACTGGGTAACAGTATAAAATCTAAATGCCAAAAGATCTATTAGTGTATCACCCAAACATCCTTGTTTTTAAGTTCTTCTTATAAACTGTAAGCGCTCTTCAAAGATAGTTGATTTTTCATTATCTGAGTAGAACAAATCATTATTCTGTATTTCTAAATACTCAGATTTTTGCATGAAAGAAGAGGATATAAATTTTCAATCTTCATTGAATTTTCAGTTGGATTTTAATTACTTTATGTGCTTCTGTTAAAGGCTGTATGTAATACTTTCCAATACAAAAAATGATGGTATTGCAATCCAGCCAAAATATTCAACAGCAAAAATTCTTCCTAGAGAACTTTAAGGTCAAAGAATTTACTGTCAAAGTATGGGATCATGTTTCTAGATTTGAACTGTAATGTCTTCTTTGAACATTTTTCTGAAATCCTCTCACAGCTTATTTGCTTATAATTAGCTCATTTTTCATGTTTTTTGAAATTAGTGAGAAGTGCTTCCATGCACAGGCACTTGTAATTTTTTTATAAATATTTAAGCAAAACTTCTTTCGATCAGCACTGTAGATGTACTGGAAGAATATTAATCTTTATGAAATATATACCAGTTCTATCTCCTTTTTGTTCTCGTCATAATAAACTACCTCTGTGAAAGACAGGACCACAGAGAGACAGCAATGAAAACATGTAATATATAATCACAAGAACAGGAGAGGCTGTAGGAATTATGCCCCAATGTCACTTCATGAGCTGCTGGTGTTCAGCACATAAAAATAAACTCCAAGTCATCTGTCTAGACAATGTCAAGTGCAAAAACAAAGTAATTCATCTAATGAGCAATTTAATATGTGGCTCAGCAAGTATCAGTCAGCAATATATATATTTAGGTAGTGTATACATACACACACATATATATAAATGGAAACAGAATTTATATAAGTTTTATTAAAACTACATACATGTTATATAACTGTGAAAGAATGGGTAACAAGCTCAAAGACTGTTTCTGACTAGAGGCTGAACTGCACTTTTCTGCTGTTAACATTTCTTTTTAAATGCTACTGCATCTTCAGAGTGGAGTACAGCTCCACTCTGAAGATGCAGTGCCAAGCAGCCACACTATTCACAAGCATCAGGAATCAATAAGCAATTTTGTAGTTTAGGATGAGAAAAACAGCTTGAGAATAGTCACTAATTGGAAGAAGCCACTGGTGATGTCTGATGGCAAGCTACAGCCTGACCTAGACAACACCCAGGGTTCTGTGACTGAAACCCCAATTTGAATTCAGTCTGTCTAAGGCAAAACTGGCAATACAGGACCACACAGAGTTACCAGAAAAACTTGACATCCAGCAGTGAACTGAAGCACAGCCAGTTGTTCCATTTCATTGACAAGTATGAAAGTTTGCATTTAGCCCACTGCGTAAGAGCAACTGCAGGGGGGACAGTGCAAAGAACGCAAGGCTCTGTGAGCTCCCATAGGAGCTGTGTTATCCCAGCTTCTTCACCTGTCCACAACTTTGCCTACCGAAATGGGCTTTTGAAAGCCACATCAAACCCTTCATCCCCTCCCCTTCAAGCTTCTCTGGCTTCTTTAGCCACTTCAAGACCCTTACTATGTTGGAGTTTCTTTGCTGTAGTGACTCTCTACCTGCAGGCTTACTGGTACACATGGATAAGCACATACACACATGATTTTTAGAGACTGTAAGGATTCTTTCCTGTACTTTAAGGAGAGATCATAATTGCTTGGGGGAAAAAAGAAAACATTTAGCATGCAGTTTTACAACAGCAGTAGATGAACAAAGTACTTTTAAAAATACCTTAAACCCCTATAGGCATTTTATGGGTGTATAAAACATTTGCTGCCACTGTTCTCTCTCCTGCCCACAGCTTTAATTGTCACTTCACTGAAGCCATCCTAGTTTGTAACTACAAAATTTTCCAAGCTGAAAGCAGAAGGAAGCAGAAAACTGACCAAAAAGCACACTCTAACTTGCATTAGGAATACAAAGACTGTGTCTAAATAATAAGGGTTTATTCCTAAAGATTGACCCTGAATAAACATAGCCTTGGCCTTCCAGGTGGTAATAAATTTTAATAGAATACATTGCCTCTAACAGCAGGTAACAAAATGGCATTTATTCAGTTGATTGCTCCTTTCCTGTCTTGTGAAGGAAGAGCACAAACTGTCAGCATTCCTCTTCTCGTCTAAGCAGTAGAAATCCTCACCCATAAAATATAAACTAAGTACAATACACTGTTTTTTTCTAGGTCTAAAACAGCTACCAGAGAATATTTCTTAAAGCATATACCATTGTGCAAATATATCTGTATACATGCATGCCCATGTGCATACACTGTTCGAATAGTCTAGTAATATTTTTAAAAGTAATGATTTAATATAATGATATAACATTTATATACACACACATTTTGCACTGTTAATCTGTCAAAGCTTATCATTAAGTTAAAATGACAACTTTTCTACTTGCAACACAAGGAAAAATAACAAGTATTTCAGGAGAGCAATACTTTCAGATACTAATGAAATCTGTAAGTCCATTATTTTTTTTTTTTGCTTACAGCAGAGGAGCTTATAGCTGCCATATATGCCCTGTTATGACTAACATCAGAGATGTTTCCTTGCAGTCTCCACACATAACACGAGTGTTTGTACTTGCAACTTTACAGTAATAACCCTTACAGAGTAAAATTCACTCCAGCTGCATCTTCTCTGCAAAACCATTAATTTTATTTATCCAAAATCCTTGTCTCTACTGGCATCATTCTTAAAATCTTCAGAGGAAAAAGAAAAGAGCAGAGAAAGATACATTTGTTTAGACTCATTGTTTAGGACAAAATATGCTAGCACATAATGAGAATACTCAAGAAAACAGGCACAATATTCTGTGTAGAGGTTTGAATCTTGATCCAATACACAGCCATTACTTTGTAATACTTTTGAATTCTAAAATCCAGTTACTACTGAAACTGAAGTGTTTCCTCAGTGCTGAACAAGACAGACAATTTTTGCTTTTTATGGAATGGATTTTTGATGCATATTCTTGCAGCTGGCATTACACAAGACAGATTTTGATATAATGAAGAAAATCACAAAGCTGTTTTGCAAACAACTGCAGGCAGAGTAATAGTGGATTATTTCAGAATATTCTCTTCCTCAAGAGCTTTGCTACAGCTGAGAGTTTCTAAGCTCCTGTGCTCAGAGCAATGGAATTGAGAAACCAAGTGTGAGCAAAATATCTTCCCTCTTAATAGAAATTTTAAAAGTTAATCAGATGGAAATAGCCTCCTTTCATGTTGGTCTACACCAAGACTTTGCAAAATGCAAATTAATCTCAAAAATATCTTAATGTCACATATTTAATTGTCAGAGAAGACCAAGAAGTCACGTTTTTTATAGTTGGGCCTTACTCTTTCCCCACAGGAGATCTTTGGAGGAACCATCCAGCTAATGTTGTAATATCAGGCCTTTATCTTGCCTACAGAAGTTGTCCGACTATAAAAAACACATAAGGTAAAAATTATACAGGTAGCTCTGTATTGTATGTATTACTGTATCTTGTCAAAAGAGACAAATTGCTCAACTTTCAGACAGTGAATCTAACTGTAGGAAGAAAAACCCACAAGTGTTAAAACAGGCAAAATTGTCAAAATATTACACCAGTATCTCCAGAGAAATCTACTCCATCAATTCAACAGCTGAAAACCAAAATGCAGTACTTTTTATTTCAGCTTCTGCCCAGCAGCTACTCTCACAAGTCTGCCAAAACTCAGCACTTTCAGTAAACAGCAATTTGTACTTGTGCTTCTGGTTTTTAACCCCAGCAGATGGAGCCATAGGTCTACTTTCTCAATAACTGCAAATATGAAAAAGCAACAGTCTAAGCCTTGCACATTTCTTATTGCCTTTGAGGCAAAATTTAGGAATTGAAATTATTTGTGAATTTTACCATTATCATAATTACATGTACACACAAAAGACAAGATATGTTTATTCAACACTGTAGTGTGTAAGGGAGTGCAGACATTCTCTTCATAAAAAAACCCACTACTACCTCTCAACACTTTCTAAACAAAGCTTCCCTAAAGAGGTTCTCCTTAAACATGCAATTTCTAGAAATATTAAACATCTTCCACACAAGAAACGCAACTGAATTAGCTATCAAAGTTTAAACTGGGAGATGACATGACACATAGCTGAAACGCCTCAAACCTTAAATCAGAGCAGTATATCAATAAGCATCTGGAAGATTTTTAGGCTTCACTCATAGTTTAAGGATGATGATACATTTTCTTTATTGCTTAGACCTGGGAACAGTACAATAAAGGAGAACACACAGGACTAAGATGTGCATTTTACACTGCGAAGATCCTGCCTCCATCCCTCACATGAGCACTACCATGCAGTAGGAGGCAAGGACCACATCACATAGCCAGTCTGGCTCAAGCCTTACACAGAAATTATATTTGCCTCAGGATACTACAAATACCCACAAAACTACATGAAAATAAATGGTTTTAATTGTCAGTGTGTCAACAGAAGTCCTGATGCAGCTAATAACACTTTTAAGAAGCAGTCCTTTAGTCCATGGGGTAACATTATAGCCTGTGGCTCCCACACAAAGTGTTAAGCTTCCATCATTTGGATTCCTGCACTGTGCTGTCCTCGGCATTTAAGCATTACTGCCGTCAATAAAGTTCTAATATTATTTGTC